CTATGTCCTGAATGGTATTGCCTAGGTTTTCTTTTAGGGTTTTTATGGTTTTAGGTTTTACAGATAAGTCTTTATGGTTTTAGGTTTTACAGATAAGTCTTTAAATCATCCTGAATTAATTTTTGTATAAGGTATAAAGAAGGGCTCCAGTTTCAGTTTTCTGTACATGGCTAGCCAGTTTTCCCAGCACCATTTATTAAATAGGGAATCCTTTCCCTATTGCTTATTTTTTTGTCAGGGAAAACCCTGTAATTATTTTTCTTGAGAACAAATTGAATTTACAAAATAATATGACACAATATATAAAGAGGATGCAAAATTTAAGCTACTACAGATTCCCCATTCAGAAATTATGGAAGGCGGAAGATCATGTAAAGTGTTCATCACCTTAAAATCAAAACATGCATGCACAAACTGTCAGTTCAGAAATCTAAATCCAGAAAAAATAAAAATGGCCTCCAAAAAAGGAAAGCAAAAAGATAAAAAAAAAAGGTAAAACAAAACAAAAATGAACTTCCAGATAAACGAATCTTCATGAACTCATTTCCACTAGGCCTATAAGAAAAATTAAATAATGTTCTTGTATCTTCAGAAACAAATGAAAATGATAAATAGCAAAGAAAATCAACATCTTTCTAATACTGAATCTACTATGCATGCATATGGTATGTTTTTAATTTATCCAAGTTTTCTCTTGTATGTTCCTTATTAGAAATAATACTTCACATGTACGTTAAGGTTTATTCCCATGTATTCTACTGGGTGCTGTGATCTAAAGTGGTTCTAGTCATTCATTATATTTTGTTTGTTTCATGTACAGAATCCTACTGTTACATATAATAGTTTTCCCAATTCATTTTTGTGTTGTATTGTATAACTGTATTATGAAAAAGTAAGTAAAAATTGGATACTCTTTCTAAATTTTTAAATATATTTCATTTTCAAGTCTAATTATATTGGCTAGTATTTCCAGGAACATGTTAAATAAAAGTGGTAATTATGGACACCCCTGGCCTGTCTGAGCAAAAGTTTCACTATTAAGTGTTCGATAGGATTTGGTTTAATATCATATATGTAGATATGTGTTGTATATGTATGTGTGTATATATACATGTGTAACTGGGAGCACTGCAATTGAAAAATACATATTTGAAACCACTAAAGAGGAAAAATCAATGTCTCCAGCACCAGCAGTAACCAGCTATAAAAAAATAACATCAACTGTGCTAAGCTTAAGTGAAACAGGTGATGATCCAGTAACTTGAAAAAACCAAGCCTAGACAAAAAGTAGTCAAATTGCTGAAAATACAAGATATCCCCCAAAATTGTGAAAGCAATTGGAGAAAAATGACATATTATATAAAGAGGAAGCAAAATTCAAGCTACTGCAGATTCCTCATTCAGAAATTATGGAAGGCAGAGATCATGTAAAGTGTTCATCACCTTAAAACCAAAACACACATGTGCACACAAGCTGTCAGTTCAGATACCTAAATCCAGGAAAAATGGCCTCCATAAAAGAAAAGCAAAACAAAACAAAATGAACTTATAGAAAGAGGAAGCTATGTGAATTCATTTCCACTAGACCTACAAGAAAAATTAAATAATGCTCTTGTATTTTCAGGAACAAATGAAAATGATTAATAGCAAAGAAATTCAAAGACTGTTTTTCCTCTTAATTAAAAAAAGACATGTGACTATTTAAACACAAATTATAACAATGTATAACAATGTATTTAGATGTACTATATGATAACTGTAGCATTAAGGACAGTAGAGGAAGAGAAATAGATCTCTACATGGTTACAAGATTTGTACATTTTATGTGAAGGGTTACAATGTTAGCTCCAATAGACTTTGAATAGTTAAAAAAGTATTCTCTAATCCCTGGAGCAACCAAGAAAAATATGTGAAAACAAAATGCTTAGATTAATATTTAAATTGAAATGAAATTCTAATAGAAAATACTGAAATAACTCCCAAGAGGGCAAAAGAGAAAAATATGACAGGACCCACAAAACAGATAATAAACTGGTAGGCCAAAATTCAATCTCATCAGTAACTACATTTAATATTAATACATTGATCTCTGTGACTAGATAAAAGCGTAAGACCCAACTATGGTTATCCCCAGTATCTGTTGATTCCAGGACTCCTCCTCCTATACCCAGATCTATAGATACTTAAGTCTGTTATATAAAATGGCATAATATTTGTATGCAATGTACACACATTCTCCTGTATACTTTATACCATCTCTAGATTGCTTACATGCAATACAGTGTGACACTATGCAAATCATTGTGATACTGTATTATTTCTTTTTATTTGTATTATTTTAAATTTTTGTATTTTTAATTGTTTTTTCTCAGAATATTTTGTTCTTTGGTTTTGTTGAATCCATGGGTGAAGAACCTGTGGATATAAAAGATGGACTATGCTCTTTATAGGAGATGTAATGGATGCCTAATAATAGATCCCCAAAATACATAGAACAAAAATGGGCAGAATTAAAGTGAGAAGCATGCACTTCTATAATCATATTAGGAAATATAATACCACTCTCTCAGCAATTGATAGTACTAAACAAGTGTCAGTTTAATTACAGGGAATCTGAGAAATACCATGAACTACCTTGACCTATTTGTTTTTTAAAGTACATAAAACGGAAAAGAACAGAATTACGAAGGAAAAGCCCTTATAAGAGAAATGTTAACTCACTTCTCTAAGAATTAAAATATCAAACAAAAAATCAGCAAAGATTTAAACTATACAAAATGAAAAGCATTATAAAAACAATAAAAATCCATAATAAAAAACATGTTTAGAAATTGAGGCTGAGTATTGTCACTCACATCTGTAATCCAGAACTTTGTGAAGGCAATGTAGGAGGATCACTTGAGGCCTCCAGAAGTTTAGGACCAGCCTGGGCAACATAGCAAGACTCATCTTTTATTAATAACACAAATAATAAAAATAAATATGTTTAGAAATTAGAAAACACATGTCTAAATAACTAATGGGTCAAATAAGAATTATAAAAGGAATTGTAGAAAATATCTCAAACTATATATTAAAATTATATGATTAATATTAGGTTTAAAAATGTATAGGAGATAGCTAAAGTAGTATGTAAAGTTTTATTTTAGAAAATAAAAATGGCTAAACAAGGGAAAAAATAAACCCAAAGAATGTCAGTAGATATGACAATAAATGCCTCTATTATCAAAAACACTAATGCTTGTGTTATTGTGAGACAACAGGAATATAATATGATTTATATATTATAAAAGACATCAATGCGGATGTGTTGAACAACCTGTAAACAGAACTTAATTTCAACAGAAAAGCAGAATAATAGAAAATAATCCAAAATGATGAATATGGATATGGTAAAAAAAATGAAAGTATCAAATGTCCAGTATAGAAAAACAAAAAACAAACAAACAAACAAAAACCTAACAGAAGTTGGTATTTGAGAAGAACAGAAGGAAGTAAGTAGAAAATTTGTGACTAACTCATATTACACCTCTTTATAAAAGTGTAAATCTCATATAAGATGCATGAAAATTGAGGGTTAGCTGAGGGTGTGTGGAGAGAACCTATTGTCTATTGTAGAAATAAATAGTTAATCCTAAGTGGTATATATAGCAAATACCTATCCAAGGTTTCTGTCATGGCAATCTCTAAATAAAGCATCTAAATGTAAAGTAATCTCTAAGTAAACCAGTAAAGACTAAAACATTTACATCCTGGAAGAATGGTGCAAAAATTTAATCATTTACTGATGGAGCATGTGACCATGGTACAAAAAAATGGCAAACAACATAAAATAATCTTAAGAATACTTGTGATCTACGGTCACTCATTACAGAAATTATGCCACTATTTTCCAAATGTGACATGATAACAAATGCTCAGAAACTGTAAAATGGAATATGTTTGATCAACTGTTAGGTTCTGATATATCTATTCTTATAAACAACCAACGGTGTGAGGTAAACATGAAACTTAGATCATCACCAGCATTATCAAGTAATTTAGTCATCTGAATTATACATATTTATACATTTGATTTTTTTATTCTTCCCTGTTAGGTATATAGATCCAACATAAATCCTCGACAAAGATTAAAATTCTCTCATTTAGGATTAAAATGCTCTTTTCTTTGTGAAAAGCAATAAGAGAAGTAAAATCTCCAATTAAACCACAATCTTCATAATCTAGTGGAATCAAATGGCAGAAATGGAAACAACTGAAATCTAGAAAACAATGGACTATAAAGTAGTATAGGAATTAAGTCTGAAAGTCAGATCTGGACAGTGTCATTCTCTCACTGGCTCCTCAACCCTTAAAAGTAACAAAATTTCCTATATTATCTCCTCTGCCTCAGATGTATCAACCATCCATTATCCAATTTTTGATTGGGACAGTATATAAGTACAGCGTACAAAGTAGGAATGTGCGTTGGTAGAAAAAAGAGAAATACAGAAAGTTTGGAGAATAATGCTGGGATCTGTAGGTGGTATAAAAAAGGTATTTAGGGCCGGGCGCGGTGGCTCAAGCCTGTAATCCCAGCACTTTGGGAGGCCGAGGCGGGTGGATCACGAGGTCAAGAGATCGAGACCATCCTGGTCAACATGGTGAAACCCTGTCTCTAGTAAAAATACAAAAAAAAAATTAGCTGGGCATGGTGGCGTGTGCCTGTAATCCCAGCCACTCAGGAGGCTGAGACAGGAGAATTGCCTGAAACCAGGAGGCAGAGGTTGCGGTGAGCCAAGATCGCGCCATTGCACTCCAGCCTGGGTAACAAGAGTGAAACTCCGCCTCAAAAAACAAACAAACAAACAAACAAACAAACAAACAAACAAAAAGGTATTTAGAACCAGAATTTAGGTCCTATTATCTTTTTCTATCAAACACATTAATACTATTGCTCTTACTTCAAGTCAAGACACTGAATCACTAGTGTTTATTTCTTTTGAAAGCATACATCTTACCATGTGGAATTGTGGTCTGGAAAGGGCGACTTGGGCTTTTCAGGTTCCATAAAGTCAAACTACCATCTGAATGGCTGCACATGAACTGTTTGCCCTCATGATGCCAATCAATTGAATGAATAGCCTAATAAAATAACAATTAAAAACAAGTGGGGGGGGGAGTAGATAGGTTATATCATTTTATATCCCAAAGGAAGATTATTCTGATATAATATTATTATACAAATAACATTTAATGATGTAATTTTTCTGACCCATATCAGACTATAATTTCTAGTAACATGAAGTCCTATTTCCTCCTCACATAGCCAATTTAAAAAATAATTTGAGTAAGAGCTACCATCTGAAGGCTTTCTATGTGCCAACTCCCATGGCAAGCATTTTATACATATTATCTCATTTAATCCTCTAGAAAGGGTATTATTTTTTCAATTTATACATGGTGAAACAGGCCTTGAGAGATTGAGATACTTGCTAATGTCACACAACTCAAAAGCAAGGTCTGTCTTAACTACAGAAAAATATATTCTCAATCATTGCACACTGTTTCCCCCTCTTGTATATACTATTTAAATCAATTTAAAGCAAAAAAGGTTTAAATTTTCTTTTATATTTTCAGGTTAACTCTTTAGTTTTGAGTCAGATAAGATTCAAAAGTAATTATAGCCATCCCTCGGTATCCAATGGGGATTAATTAGAGAAACCCCACACTCCCTCAGATTCTAAAATCCACAGATGCTCAAGTCCCTTATATAAAATGTCATACTATTTGCATACAACCTATCAATATCCTTCCATATACTTTAAATCATCCCCAGATTGCTAATAAAATGTAAATTATATGTAAATATATTAGATTGTCTTTTTATTTGTATTATAAATTATTAACATTATTTGTTTTTAAAATATTTTCTATCATAGTTAGTTGAATCCAAGGATGCAGAATTTATGGATACAGAGGGCTGACTGTATTCCATTTTCCCAAGCTACTGTATTCCCAGTGCTAACACAGTGACCAGCATAAAGTGAGTACCCAATAAATATCTGTTGATTGAATTAGTAATTAATGTCAAACACATTTCCACATCCTTGAAAGTCTTTCTAAATTAATAAAGTCTATTCAGAACTTGGGCAAAGTACTAAGTAACATGAGAAAAAGTCTAGCAGATATAAGGCAGAGAAGCATACAATATATTTTCCTTAAAGACACTTATAAAGCACTGAGAAGATGAATATAAGTAAATACTAATTATACTTATTGTCTGAAACAGACACAGACACACACAACCAAAAGTTCCAAACTAAGTTATACATATATCACTGATAAAAGTTCTAAACAATCAGTGTTATTAGAGTTGCAGATAATTCATGGCTAAAGTAATTATTTAACATATCATCAAGAAAATAAGATTTGATTAAATGGAAAAAGCAACATGAAATCCTAGATTTGGGTTTTCTTTCACCCTGTGGCCTTTGTTACTAAACAGAGATTTCTTTTTTTTGCTAGAGTCCAGCAGAGGAAGTTAGAGGGAAAATACTTCTTTCTCTTCTCTTCTGCTTATTTTTTCTCACTTCTGAAGGTGGTTCAAGGGAAAGTCACATCTTCTTGCCTCTCCTACATGTTAACTTTGATGAGCCTCATTTAACTTATAGTTGTCTCAAACTGTTTTGCCATCAAAGGTGGGGGCAGAAAAGGCACTCTCAGCCCTAAACCTTCTTATTTCACTGAATTTCTACCTACTGAAAAGGACAGAAGTAAAAATAATAGCTACAGTAAAGCCAAAATAGTACAATTTAAAAAGTATATTTATTGTTTGGAAAAACAAGCATGTAAAACCAACTTGTTATTAGAGATCAAGGTCTCATATAGTACATTACTGAGTAGCTACTATTTGATCTGACTTGATGGATAAATATTCAATTTCTATTTATTAAATTCTACCCTACTATTTTCTAAAAAAAAAAAAAAAAAAAAAAAAAAAAAAGGGAGGGAGTCTCAGAGGCTTACTTAAAGAAAAAAAAAAAAAAACTCAAATATAATACAACTAATCCAAACAAAATTTGAAGGACAGAAAACAGAATTTTAAACAAAAAACACTAGCTAGTTTTATCAACTCAGTGGCTGAGACTGAGTTTCTTGAAAACATGAAAGAAGAAGGAAATCCGAGAAACTGGATAACAACATGAAAAAAATGAAATACAGCAGTTCTGAAGAAATTTTCCTCATGCCAAACTCAGGGATTTCTTTGTGAACGATTATTCAAGCATTATTGACATAATGAAACAAAAATTTTACAGTTAATATGAAAGTAAAATTCATACATTTATTTCTGAAAATAATCTTGGATTTCCAAAATAAGACTCAATTCATCAATGGCTGCTTATGAAGAGGCTAGTTAAATTGTCCAAATACCTTTACAGGGGCTAAAGACCTAACAGATTTGATATACACAAGAGGAAAGAAGGCAGTTCATGATGAGAAGTCAGAAGGAGCAAAGGCTCAGAGATAAGAAATAAATGTTATATATAGGAGATAGTGAGTAATAAGTCTAAATGTGGGGAATGTGTAGAAGGATATTATAAATTTAAAGAGGAATTATCACCCTAGGTTCTTAAATCTCATGTCAAGCAATATGGACTTTGTATTATTGGCAATTGAGAGCTATTCAAAGGTTCTGGGGTAGAGAATTCCATAATCTGTTTTAAAACTGTAATATTTTAAATTAAGGATATATTGAAGAGGTAAGACATCAAAGGAAAAGTGATTAGTTAAAATACTCTTATAGTCATCCAGGCAAAAGATAACAACTTAAACTAGGACATTGGGAGTGGGAATGAGAAAAGAGGAAATAAATGAGACAATAAAAAGTCAGAATCAAAAAGACTGCAGAAACTGATTGCACATAATAAATACGTGATCATAGAAGAGACAAATATTAATTTGAGGAGTCTAAACTTAATTAACTAAATAAGACTAAAAACCAGAGGAAAACATAGAAGAAGGTTTAGGTATTTAAATAAAAATTCACTGCCAATGGGATATTCAGCTGGCTTTATCTAATATACTGTTATATATTTAGATCTAGAGTTCAGAAGGGAGGTAAAGGCTATAGATGCATGGATGTTAATTTTTTTTAGCATAAAGGTAATGTTTCAAATGATAAAAGAGGATACAAACATTAAAAAGTATACATTAGGGAGAGAAGAAATGAGGGTGAAAACATAGTATCCTGAAGAGTATCTACAATTTAAAGGAGAGCTAAGGGAAATATCAGTTATGGAAAAAGGAGGCATAATAAATGAGGTGGAAAGACACAGACAAGTGAATAAATTATTTTAAGAGGAGAAACTGAGGTAAAGCCACAGGTTTCAAGAGGAATTTAAAGACTAAGAAGAGATCACTGTATTGGTGACTTATGAGAAACCATTTCAGGTAAGTATTAAGCATGCTTTCTAGCTATGAGAGGTAAAGTACTGGGGACAGGCTGAAAAGCTTGGCAGTAAAATGAAGTATTTAACTATCTCTATTAAAACAATAGAACATATAATGATGCATTAAAGTAGATAAATAGATGACAGATTTATATACATATATCAGATGTCAGTAACTTCTAGGTATAAATTACATATATCATGGTATTGTACTAACTCACTTAGGCAGCTGCTAATCCTTATTTTAAAATTTCACTAAAATTTGAATCTGTTTTTAAGGCTCAAAACCTTTCTTCCATACTTTATAAGGCCATAGAAAAGCTAGTTGATTCAGCATTTTCCTCTGGGTTTCCTTTTGAGGTGATTATTCTAATTCAAACTGGTTAAGTATTCCGATGGTATTTGTGCTCTTGTTTAGCTGCTGGTATTGACAGAGGAGCACTATCCATCTCCATCTCTCTCTCTCTTTTTTTTTTTTTTTTTTTTTTTTTGAGACGGAGTTTCGCTGCTGTTACCCAGGCTGGAGTGCAATGGCGCGATCTCGGCTTACCGCAACCTCTGCCCCCTGGGTTCAGGCAATTCTCCTGCCTCAGCCTCCGTAGTAGCTGGGATTACAGGCACGTGCCACCATGCCCAGCTAATTTTTTGTATTTTTAGTGGAGACGGGGTTTCACTATGTTGACCAGGATGGTCTCGATCTCTTGACCTCGTGATTCACCCGTCTCGGCCTCCCAAAGTGCTGGGATTACAGGCGTGAGTCACTGCGCCCGGCCCTCCATCTCCATCTTTATAATTTGTATAACAAAATAAAAATCCTAGCTTAGTTCCCTAGGACTTTACTTTCTTACAATTCAAGATGCTCAAAAATTTGATCATAAAGAACATAGTTGTATGATATTACTTGTCAGATTTTCACCAATCATGAAAAAATTATCCCCTGCCATTTTATTTTCTGAACTTTTTTTTTTTACCACTATGGAACCACTGAGAATGAATTGTGCAGTTTATAAAATGGTGTAGGCTTATATCTTTAAGCACCAAAACTTAAAAAATTAACTGTTATGAAGGGGATAGGGGAAAACATGTAAAGTATTCTAGGGTGGTTATAGGTTTATTTGGAGACATTTTTAATACCTCCAGTGATAAAATGAAGAAGTGTTCTAAAATAAATGTGTGAGTGTTTTTCGTTTTCTAATTATTTCAGTGCTGCATTAAATTATTTGTCACTATTCCTGTGTAAGAGTAGGTTTTTTTGGACATAGATTTTTGGCCTATATTTTCCTTCCATCTCTTCTTATTCCCACCATTTTCAAACTGAATTAAGAACACAGATGATCACCTTTATTTCCACAGATACAAAAAATAATTTCCCTTTTAATCTGTTGCCCCCGGTTTTACAATCTTCTTAGCCTCTTCTGAATGGAAAAATAATTAGTGGCCAGGAATTAATATTTGAACAATTGAAGTGCCAACTGGGAGATTATTCCTTGATGAATAGGAGTTTGTTGCTTTCCCTAAATATAAACCTAATCAAGTCTCAATTATGTATGATAAAACTTACTTCAATATCTTGTCACTTAGTAAGTGTCTCTTATTAAGATCTGGTCACTTATCAAGTATTACTATTTACAAAATTTTTCTTTATCTAAGAGGGCAAGTATTAGAAAATAAGGCCTTTCAAACTGACTTGAACTTCTTGCCACTGAAAAGGAATTTTCTAAGGAAAGTGTGAATAGTGTCTTTAGAGACCTTAAGGACAGTGGAGCACAATGTAGCATGGAGCCTAGAGAAAGGAAAAGTAGTTGGGACAAAGTTAGGGATATAGTACAGGTGACAGGCACCCAAGTACCTAAGATTGAAGACCTATTAACAAGTACATAAGATTGAGGACCTATTAACCAAGCCAGGACCTATTAACAAATGCAAAGTACATAAGATCCCACAAAAGGGCCCCGAAATAGGCAGTCAAGACAGAATTTCCTCTTAAGAGAAAAACCGAGAGATGGAACTTACACAAATACCAAAAGACAGTGTGAAGCATTGGATCAGAATCAGGCAACTTCCCAAGGCTAAACATATTGGCAAAGTACAAAGCTTCAAAGTAGAAGATATGCACAAAGTCACAATACTCTTTCAAACATTTCAGTAGAAATTACTTACCTCATCATAATAAACTCTCAGTTCTGCTCTTTTAGATTTCAAGTCCCAGAATACTACAGTACCATTTTCATAACCTATTAGCAGCTGGAAAACATTAGAACAATCATTTTCTTAATTCTAACATTAATTTTAACTTGCTTCAAATAAAGTTTAATGTTAATAAAGTAAAATCACACCACATAACACAACCTTATTTAGAATACCAATTTTTCTAGAACTTGAATATGGGTTTTCTACATTTAAAAATACGACAAATAAACTGTTTCAGTATGGACATTTACCAATAAACACCTAATTTCAAAAAGGAATTGAGGAAGAATATCAACATATATATGATATGATATAAAATATGAAAATTGGATAGAAATGTAGATGAAATAAAACATAAATGGGGTAAGTTTAATGAACTATGTATATGCCATTCAGTCCTATGCACTTGACAAATGTGACTGCAATTTGGCTTCAAATTTGTTCTATCAAATCCTATTTTCTCTTTGACTGAATTTAATATTTTAAATGGTTTATGAACACTCAGAAGATTATAAAGGTATTCTAGAGATTCACATCATTAAAAATGATTCATATTTGTTTTTAAATCATAAATGATTAATAAAATACTACATCTTTAAAAAAGAAGAATTTGATAACAGATCATGATTATAATATGATCAGCTTTAAGACTCATTCAGTTAAACAATGCCAGCCATACTGATAACTTTTGCAGTGATATGATTCTCAATTATTATTTGTATACTTCCTGTTTTTTTTTTGTTACCAATGATAGATTAAATATAATAAAATTTAGCCTATCATTGGTTAAGGGAAAAAAAAAGAGAATGTATAAAAATAGCTAATGTTAAAATAATGAAAATATTTCTGACATATTTGCCTTAAGATGATTTTTTTGAAACACATTACTGGTATTTCTCTAATGAAAATTATTATACACTGCATAAAGATGTATCAGTAACTCAAAAAACCATTGGTAAGAACAGAAAATATAGTCGTGGGGATAACCTAAGTCTGTAGAGCATCCTGAGACCTTATCACTTATCTTAACATCTTACAATGAGACATGAAAAATAACAAAAATACACCAGCTAGTAGTTTTAGCAGTAAAAACACAAAAATTTCAATTATCAGTTCATTAAAGCAATATACATATATTTTTGAAGCTATAACAAAAATGCTTGGTTATTAAACCATACACAACAAACGTTAAAATTGATTTGACAAAAAATGAGCTTTTCACATGTTAACTTGAAGTAAATGGCATATATGACTTGCTAAGTAAAAATGTCAAAATTAAATACATATTTGGGTAATATTTCTTAAAATTGATATGACTTTACTAAGACATGTTTTAACTTCAAATTAAGTCCTTTTACATACAAGAGAAAATGATGAACAACAAAACCAATTTCTTTTCTTTTCTTTTCTTTTCTTTTTTGAGACTGAGGACAGTCTTACTCTGCTGCCCAGGTGGGTGTGCAGTGGCACAATCTCTGCTCACTGCAACCTTCACCTGCTGGGTTCCAGAAATTCTTGTGCCTCAGCCTCCTGAATAGCTGGGATTGCAGGCGTCTGTCACCACACCTGGCTAATTTTTCTATTTTTAGTAGAGATGGGGTTTCACCATGTTGGTCAGGCAGGTGTCCAACTCCTGATTTCTATCTGCCTGTCTCGGTGTCCCAAAGTGCTGGGATTACAGGCGTGAATCACCATACCCAGCCAATAAAACCAATTTTATTGAGTGTATGAGACTATTGGCAAGGAGATATTGGCAAGGCAATTTATCAACCTAAAAAGTTTGGAAAATATAACTAAAGCAATAAAATGAATAATATAATGTTTCTAAAGTTGAGCCCCAAGACTTAATAAAATAATAACCTAAAATACTATATTTTCTTAAAATAAATATCTGAAAGGTAAAAGTTGCTTTGCTGATAAAACATTGCTAGCAATAGCCCCAGTAAACAAAATATAACATACTGAACCTCAAGAAAACCATAAATTGTTGAGATAAGTATACAAGATTATCATTTAGAAAATATAATATTAGAATCAGTTAGAGAATTAGAAAAGAGAAAAGCATCCCCCTGACATCCGGCGACATTAGACAAGGCCACTCTGTGACCATGAGGAATCGTGACAAAAATAAGAGCACTCTGCAATAATATTTGACCACACCAAAACAGGAACATTAACTAAACCATAAATTATGTATACATATTTTTTAAACTGAAAATGTTTCTCACAATAGAATTAAGTACCATAAAGACAAAGAAATAGAGTTACTTGTTCACCATGATATCATTAGAAACTAGAACAGTGTCTGAAAAAACAGGTATTTGGTGAATAATAAATTATTAAATACCAAAAAATAAAAATTGTAGATATTATATTCTAACCACAGTAAAATAAAAGTTATAACAAAAATATTTTGAAAATTAAAAAATACATCTGTAGGTAATTAATAAGCAAAGAAGAGATGAAATGCATAAAATAGAGCTGAACAAAAATGCCTCATAAGACACACATGAATCTTAAGAGGAAATTTTATGGTTTTGTAAATATGTATGTAGAGAAGAAAAATTGAAAATGTTTTAATGATATAAAGGTTGATTTTGAAAAGTAAAGAAAAGAGTAAATCTCAGAAAGCAGAAGAAAAGATAATGAGTCACCTTATGCAAGAGCAAAAGATACCTACCACCTTTCATTTATAAAAGTATACTTTTCTCTTCATTACCTTTTCTGAGAGGGTATTATTTCTATAGTTGGATTTTAGTATACGTCCTTCAAAATTCTTTTGTTTGCATTCATTTTCAGGTTGATTTTCTTTGTCATTCCAGATATATTATATAATCTAAAATAGAGCCCACTTTATTTTTTTCAAGTTTTTAAGTCTCTAATTGTTTGTATTTATCTAACTGCTTTACTAAAAATCATCCTAGAGTATTAAAAATAGCAGAGAGGTTGAGCATCCTTGCCTTCTTCCTGACTTTAGTGGCTATGCCTCTAGTATTTCCCCATTAAATAAGATCCTGAATTCTGGGGAGGGAGGGACAGAGTATAGAAAGAAGGAGAGAGAGAGAGAGAGAGAGAGAGAGACACTAAAAGAACTATAAATTGATTTATACATTATAAATTTATTTTATTAGGAATAGGTGTCTAATTTTAAATTAAATATTTTTGTTGAAATATGTAACATACACAGATTATAGATATGTATTTAATGAATAATGATGAAGTAAACATATCCATGAATCTATAGTCCACATTAAAAAATACAGTAGAAAGACAAGTAATACAAGAAAAATACAAGCCATTCAGAAGCCTATTTTGTACTCCTATTTAGTTAATATTCCCACTCTCCTCTCTAAGAATAACCACTATCCTGACTCCTAACACTACAGGTTACTGTTATCTGTTTTGAATTGTAGATAGGTAGAATTACACAATACATACTGCTTTCTTTCTTGCTTCTATTTCTACTATATTTGTAACATTATTTAATTCAATTTCATTATTAAAATAGCATTTCATTGTTTTGGCTATGGCACTACCACAAATTAAATTATTCATTTTACAGTTGATGTAATAATAGTGCCCTGAACAACCTTGTACATATCTTTTGGTCAATATGTATATGTATTTCTGTTAAATGTATAGTGATCCATAGCATATTAGTATGTTTAACTTTGACACAGACAAACATTTTACAAAGTGGTTATACCAATGACTTCATGTTTTCATTTTCATAAAATATGTATGAGTTCCAATTCCTTCTCATCTCATGACCAACATTGTGAATAGCTGTACAATGTTAAATTAAAGGGATAAATCATAGCCATCTTTGTCTCATTAGGAAAATTTGCTTTAATTCATCATTAAAGAAGATATTGTTATAGCTTTGGGAAAATTAACAAAGTTCACATTAATGAAATTCCTTTTGTTTCCCCATGTACCAAGAGATTTTTATAATGAAGAGAAGGTAAATTTTATTAAATGCTTCTTATTATCTATTTTTAATCACTATATATTTCTCTCCTTATTTCTGTTATGTGAAATGCATTGACTAACTCTGAAAAGTTAAACCAACTGTACTCCTAGGTGAACACAAATTGGTTGTAATTTTTTACACCTTCTCTGATTCTTGATCAGACCTGCAAGAGATGCATCAATTTTGTTAGTATTTCCAAAGAATGACTTTTAGTTTTGCTAATGTTCTAAAATTTTTTTTCTATTTTTTAAATCTCTGCCTCCCATCTTTTGAATTAGGGTCTTTTGAAAAAATAGAACCAATAGATTTTTTTTATATAGAGAGAAAGATTTTTTTTTTTATTGCATTTTAGGTTTGGGGGTACATGTGAAGAACATGCAAGACTGTTGCATAGGGACACACATGGCAGAGTGATTTGCTGCCTTCCTCCTCTTCACCTATATCTGGCATTTCTCCCCATGCTATCTCTCCCCAACTCCTCACACCCCGCTGACCCTCCCCTATTTCCCCCAATAGATCCCACTATGTGACGCTCCCCTCCCTGTGTCCATGTGTTATCATTGTTCAACACCCACCTATGAGTGAGAACATGCAGTGTTTGATTTTCTGTTCTTGTGTCAGTTTGCTGAGAATGATGGTTTCCAGGTTCATCCATGTCCCTACAAAGGACATGAACTCATCATTTTTGATGGCTGCATAATATTCCATGGTGTATATGTACCACATTTTCCCTGTCCAGTCTATCGTTGATGGGCACTTGGTTGGTTCCAGGTCTTTGCTATTGTGAACAGTACTGCAATGAACATTCGTGTGCATGTGTCCTTATAATAGAATGATTTATAATCCTTTAGATATGTACCCAGTAATGGGATTGCTGGAGCAAATGGAATTTCTATTTCTAGGTCCTTGAGGAATCACCACACTGTCTTCCACAATAGTTGAACTAATTTACACTCCCACCAACAGTGTAAAAGTGTTCCTATTTCTCTAAATCCTGTCCAGCATATGTTGCCTCCAGAATTTTTTTAATGATCGCGATTTTAACTGGAGCTGGTGTTTCGAAAAGATCAACAAAATAGAC